TTAGGTGCCAAATTCGTCCAACAATGGCCTGATTTGGACCTTCTTCAGAGGATGTTTTTTGGGATCTAATCCACCTCTTCTTGGACATGAATTTGGGCTATAAAATACTTCTAACACCTACATAACTCATATCCTTTATCCTTGAGCTCTTCCTCCCAACTAATAACTTCTTTGTTCGCTCTTGAAGTCCAATGACCTTATTTTTCAACTTTTTAGCTTGACACCTCGTTAAAGGTCCTCTTGGAGATTCCAAAGCCTCATCATTGTCTTTGAATAGATTTGAGCTTCTTAGGATGCTATCATTCCCCTCTTCTTGAAGAAAATTCACCCTCGAATTTTGACCTTGCAAGAAAACGAAAACAAACACTAGTAAATTACATCCACTAATCTGAAAAAATGGTAGGAATAAAACAAGATAGTGACCATGTGTCCACTTAAACTAATTAAGCATAATAGGGGTAAATGCTCCCTTATAAAGCATATGAACATCATCATCCCAATAAAATTTATGCCTACTTAGATTTGTCCAATATAAACCTCTCTCAGATGCACTATATAATAAAATTTTCATGTGATCTTGTCAAGAAGGAAGTCCAAACATGTGCATGCCAAAGAAATTACAAAATATTGGCCATGCATCCATTTAACACAATTATCTCTGCCACATGTATCAAATAAGACACTTTTATGATATAGCCAAGTATCAATTATAAATTACATGGTTTTTTCTACATTAAATTATTTAAAGAAGCACATAAATTCTCAGAAAGGTCAGAAGAACCCAGAAATTTCAAAATAAAAATTTCAATATATTCAAGCTCATGATTATAACTTTCCCTAATAGTAGTCGCAACATCAATCAATTTTACATAATTGCTCAAACTTTCACAGAAAGAGTCATAGATAGGTTCATGAAAGAATATTTGATCACTAATGTCACAATAATCATGCATATCCTCTTTACTAGAAGCAAGCACTTTTACAGGCTCACAATCAACATGACTAGAGGAATAATTTCCCAGCAAACAACAAAACTTACATTCTAGCAATTTATCATATGAAAACTCATTAGGCACTTAAATAAGAGAATAAAGAACATTTAACTCATTAGCAAGTTCTTCTCATAAATTTCATACCTCTTTCCACCAAGTTGGAATGCATAATCATCTATGTCATACTCAATTTCAAAAGGAAGCAAATTGCTCTTGCACTTGAACTTAGATATTACAGTTAATGACCTGATATGCATCAAAGTATCATCATCCACAAAAATTATAGAGTCACCAACATAAGAAATAAGAGTATAGTTCATTACCTCCAAAAATACCTTAGGTGTTCTAGGAAGGCCAAGAATGTGAATAAACCAATTATACATACCATAATTGGACCTTTTTATTAATGGAACAACATCACCTTTTATTCTTTTATGCAATGACTCTAACTTAGCAATGCCTTTAGGGAACTCTATGTTGTAAACCTGTAAATAAGGTTCAAAATAGTCAAAAGGTTCAACAAAGAAATTAACCAAGCTTTTATCTTCCACCATCCAACAAGAATTGATTTCGCTAAATTCATGGTGGAATTCGATTGGATCCTTTGCTAACATCTCTTGTGCCTTACCTCCCATTTCAAAAGGTCTTTCCGCAGATGGCTGCACAAAATCACAAAAGTAAAACAAGAAAGAGTTAATGCATTAAGAAGTAAAGAAACTTTTTTCTTGCTTACACTCTCTTTGACTTTTATCACAAGGCTAACTTTTTCCTCACCCTTAACCTCTTTACTCTCACTAAAGTTTTTTTTTTCTTTTTGTTCACTCAAACCCTCTTGTTTTTCTCTCTCTACCTCACAGATCTTTTTAATCTCATTGCATTCTCTCTTTTCTTTTTTCTCAAGATCACTCTTTACCTTACTCGACATCCCACTCTTTTCACTCAACACAACCTCTCCTTTTTTCTCTCTTGGGATGTCAACTTATACTTTTTTACTCCTATCATTCTTTTCTCTCCCGTATTTTTCCATATTGTCTTTAACAGTCTTTTCATCTTCACAAATTTGTGAGGGAGTTAAAGGTCCAAGAATGAGTTTTATCCCGTTAACCTCAAAAGAGTATCTATTTTTTTTCATGTTGTATGAAGCTCTTTTGTAGACATACCATGGCTTTCCTAACAAGATATGATAATTATTCATGGGAATCACATCACACCAGATCTCATCCTCATACCTTCCAATAGAGAATATTAATAACACTCTTTTATCTACCTTTACTCCTCTCAACATGTATGGTTCAATATGTTCAACATAAGAAAAGTTCAATTTCTCAACCATATAAGTGCTAATTGAGTTATAGTCAAACTCTTTGTCAATTCTAAGGGCACAAATCACAGACATCACTTTAGCTCTTGTTTGAAAAATAACTTTACCATTGTTTTCCTTCCATTCGGCATATTGTAAGTTCGACTTTTCAAATTGTTGAGTCATAGCTTGCCTCCTTTCTTCATAACTACCTGTTTGAAACATCTTGAATAAAGATTGAAGAAATATGTATATCTAAAATTTAGCTTTTTTCCTTTTAATGTTCTCACCTCTCTTGCCTTTTTCACTCAAAGCAACTCTTGGTTGTTAATCTTTAGATTTATTAATAAAGCTAACAAGTCACAACCCGCAGTGATAAGAATAAGGAGTTAGAAAAAGAAAAGGAAAGTGGCGGACCAAACCTAGAAGGAATAGGAATTGGTTAGTGCTAAAAGAAAAAAGGAAAGAATTTAAGAAACCCAAAACCCACAAGAATAAGGAAAGAAGTTACCTTAATCATCAATAACTGGGATCCCCTCCTCTTGTTTTGTTTCTTGACTTGGAAACCAAATAATACTTGAATTCTGAAAGTAATAATGAGCAATGACACTTTTTGGGGGCTAAATTTTGTTTTTTTAAAACTATTTTTTGGTTTTTTTTGTTGCTCAAGAACCTCCCAAGATTATCAAGATTGAAATCTTGATTAGCCTATGCTCTGATACTGCTTGATAACAACACGATAGGGGATTCAAGAATTACTAAAGAAAAAAAACAAGAATATCAAGAAACGCGCGGAAGCTAAAAGAAAATAAAGAAACAAAAAAGGATGGAAAATTAAAGTTGGATTGAATTCAACAAAGAATTTTTTGAATTCAAAAAGTCTATTCTTGAAGTTAAATCCTAACAACAACAATTGGGTAACAAAGAACTAATCGTCTTTGGTAGACAATTAAAAACAAGAGATAGATTGTAAAACCCAACCCTTTAGAATAACAAGAACAACAATAAGCCTAAACTTATCACCATTCTTGAATACCTAGAAGTATTCTAAGATTTCGAAAGAGTTTAATCTTACCACTTTAAGTTGAGTCTTGAAGGTTGAAGAATAAATCAAAGAGTAGCCACACACAAGAGTGCAAGAAAAATCTTATAATTTTTACTGATAATAGTCTGAATGATCTAAGTCTAAAAACAAAGAATACACCCCTTTATATAGAGAGGGGTCACGAAATTCTACCTAAAAAAAGAGTAAATAAAGTCCTAAACTACTTTGGAAAACAAGTCCAACTACCTTAGGAAAAGAAAAATAATAGGAAGCAAAAACCAAGTCATTCTTGAAAAATAATTCCGAAAATCTTAGGAAAAGGAAAACATAACCTTAACTAACTAGGAAAACAATAATTATAGTCCCATAATATATGGAAATAAGTCCCAAACCAATCTTGGATAGAATCTTGAAGAAAATTTGCAAGCAACTTGGCACCAACTTGCACTCAACATCTAGTATGACTATTGCACCCTTCTTGGACCTAAACTAAGTCCTTTTTATGCTATAAAAACGTGGCTTTATGTAGGACTTCATGAGCTGCAAGTTTGGACACACTTTAGGTGCCAAATTCGTCCAACAATGGCCTGATTTGGACCTTCTTCAGAGGATGTTTCTTGGGGTCTAATCCACTTCTTCTTGGACATGAATTTGGACTATAAAGTACTTCTAACACCTAGATAACTCATATCCTTTATCCTTGAGTTCTTCCTTCGAACTAATAACTTCTTTGTTCGCTCTTGAAGCCCAATGACCTTATTTGCAACTTTTTAGCATGAGACCTTGTTAAAGGTCTTCTTGGAGATTCCAAAGCCTCATCCTTGTCTTTGAATAGATTTGAGCTTCCTAGGATGCTATCATGGACTGGTTTTGAACAAGAATTGCAACTGAAAATCGCGGAAGAAGTTCATCTACAGACACTTGTATAAAGATGTATAAAAGTGTATAATATAGTGTACAAGATATTTTTATACACTCATATACACTATTATACAAGATTATACATAATTATACAAAAGACTGACTTCGTCTTCTTCCTAGCGTCTTTTCTGAAATTTAACTCAAATCTACTCCAAATCACTTCAAATTAACTTTTGAACTCGTTTTGATATTTTCAATCAATTAAAACAACACCCAATTCAAACAACTAACAAAGTCAAAATAAATCCTATTTTCGAAAGCAAAGCTTTGAATGGCCTTCAATGGTGGACTTGTACTCTTCAATTTTCTTACATTGCAACCAGGTCACACAGGGGATAAGCAGAAAATACATGGCCTTTTGAAGCATATGTAGAAGATGCTACAAGAAGAGAGAGTGAAAGCAATAGCTATGATAACACAGATTTAACTCCATAGCTTTTAGAACAATGTTGTAAGAACACAAGTTTTGAAATTGTTAGTGCTTCCAAAATATGTACAATATGGGCCAGGTCAGACAAAACTTAAAAAAGATGGGTCAATTTTTGTTATGGTGTGAAGTTGTGTATTTTCTTGTAATTCTTTTAAAATAAAAAAAATAGTATCATAAAACTAAAACAAATTTGTAAAGAGCCACAAAAACTTTAAGCACCAGGCGTTGCAATGTATTGCCAATAAAGCCTCTCTCCTATTTTATAGGATGCACTTCCATTTTTAGTCTAATAAAAATGATATGTTTTCTTATTCTTATTTATTGCCGACTAATTTTCTTTTTGAGCAGTGTGCTCCTTACATTCTCCTTGCTTTGAAAAGCTGGACTTGCACTCCTTTCGTTTTTATTTAGCGCGCTGCATACACCTACCTAAGCCATCTCGCCGCCGGCGGAATCGAGGTGCAAGTGTACTACTACTTCTTTCTCGCTATCCCTTCCCCTCCCTTTTCCTTCATACATTTGGTGTTTTTTGTTTTAGAAAAATAATTTGGCGCAGCGGACAATTACTGCAATTCCAAAAGCTCTCATTAATTACTTCAAGCTAGCTTTTCAATTCCAACTACTTTGCCACTAGACGTTGCACTGTATTTTTCTTAGTATTTTAAACTCTTGTTTTGGTTGTAAAACTAAATTATACGTATCTTTTTTGTGAGGATTCCATTAAATTGCGTGTGTTATTAGTGATTGTTCGAATTCCATTGAAGGATGTAGCATTTCCTTCTCATGTATGTCCATCGCCCTATATTTTTTTGTGTTCAAAATACTCCTTTCTCATATATAACTTTGTCTATATAGAAAACATTAAGTGATTTCTTTTCATCTGCCTAAGCCTTGGGGCAAGTTACCTGGTATGTGTACTGGTGGGAGGTATCATGTATCCAGTGAAATAGTTGAGTTGCACGCAAATTGGCCAAGTCGCCGTCATTAAAAAAGGTTCCTTTGTTGCCTCTTCATTTCAAGTTCAGAAGAGAATCTATTTGCTGTAGTTGAACTGTAACAACAACAATAACAAAAGAAACCTAGTATAGTCCCACAAGTGGGGTCTGGGGAGGATAGTGTGTACGCAGACCTTACCCCTACCTTGAAGGTAGTGTGCACAGACCTACCTTGCAGTTCAACTGCAATGCTTGTTAATTTGTAAAACATATCCAGATAAAATACAGACTACATTATACTTCAGATGGAAGGAGGTAAATATGATTCATGTTTTTCCTTCGGATTAGATCTGTGATTTGGCACTTCGGAGTATCAATTGTTCTGTACTTTTGAGTTCTATACTTGCAGATAATGGGAAATGCATTTTTATAGCTGAAAAGCTACTTCAGGTTGCTACTATTTGCACTTAAAGCTCTACACTTACAGGTTTATATTATGTACTTAAAGTCCTACAGGTTTATATTAACTCCAGAACACAAGAGAGACTTGCTGCATTATTAGCTGTTCCAAATTGTGTTTAAATTGCTAAAGTCCAACGTTAATCTGAACCTGGTGCTTAAAGATGAATTGCAGTGAGAATAAGTAGTCCAATGTTGATTTTCACACACAAGATGAGGCAGAAATGCTGCTTAATGAGATTGAATTGATGATAAAGAATGTTGAGGACTCTAAATTGTATGCTGGAATGCTTTTCGAGCTCGAACGGAATGAAACAATTCAAAATCATTTGTTTCCCCTTTTAGGCCCCCATTCACACGTGCAGGTGGTAATCTATGCTTTGTCATGGAATACAGTTTTCATTCATAGTTTCAGCTTGCCGTAGTTCTCCTACTAAAACGAGATTTTTCCAATTGGACTGGCAAGATAGAAGTGTACGATCCTGGCTTTTCTTCAGCTGATATCATAGTTTTGAAGGAACGGGGTTTTGAGGTTTTGAACATTGATGAAAATTGTAAGAGGCAAGTTCAGAGACCAACAATGTTCTACATGCCTGTTCCTAGTTATTGTCTTATAGGCAACCTGCTGGGAGCGAACTGGTCTTCGTCTTGTATTAACCAGATTTTTCTGCTGACAAACTCATTTCGTGATGCGTTGACCACTATTTCACCATGTAGTTTGAATAGAGAAACAGTGCAACGCCTGGAGAGAATTATCCCCTTCACAACAGAGGTTGACATAAAAACTAGCTACTCAGAGATCTATACTAACGTGTTCTCAAAATTTGCCTGGCATTTCTTTGATGTGGATCCCAACATTGACATGGAAACTTCACTGCCTGGTACTGGATTTCTCTCTATCTTGATTCAAGTTGGAGAATTTATTGGTTGGACTCACAACATGTACACTGAACAGATTTATCTTTTTTGATTCAGTGACTGAAATTATAGCATATAAAAGAAATGACAAAGAAGATTGTTCTTGGTTGGATATGCAAAGGTACATAAATGTGAGACTAGATACTGAACTTTCCCTTCATTGTCGAATACAGTTCCCTTATGTAGTTCTGTTGATTCTGGGAAACATTGGTGCTGCCAGTTAGCATATCGTTGAAGTCATCATTCCTTTACTTTCTCTCTGTACGATTGCTTCCTTTCGTTCTCTCGTGATAAGATGTCTACTCATGCAAATTATTTTAGTGCTAGCTGGAGAACATAGATTCTTTTTGTTGGACTATGCAAAGTACTTAGAAATTATTTTCTTACACGAAACTGTAGAGTTATAAAGGTGAGCTGAAGGAACCACAGGAGGGTAAAGTATATTTCGTTCTTATGATTTCACTTTTAATTTTTCGTCTTGCAGGTCTCTTGAAGAAAATATTTTGGAAGATATGCAAATCGATATAAGCAGCGAGATATGGGCTCAATTTTTTGGTGAATATCGTGGGCCTCGTCGTTTAAGATGCAACTCCGTTCCTCCCCCTCCAGGTTGGATTAAGCTAAACATCTATGGGATTGGTAAAGCTGGTGATCAGCAAGGACGATATAGTGGCGTCTTCCAAGATGAAACTGGAATGCTTTTAGGCAGCTACAGTGGTACCGTTCATGTTGAAGACAATGTGATTGCTGGACTGGAGGCCTTGAGGGAGGGGTTAGTCAAAAGCGTGGAAGGAAATACTAATGCACAGAAGTTGATTGTGGAGTCGGATAATGTTATACTTGTCCAATATGTTAATGGTCACCCTGAGCCAAATGAAATGACCATGTGCAGGTTGAAAGAAATTTTTGACTTGCTGGAGCGTATAACTTGAGCAGTTTACCATGTCTATGGAGAAGCCAATGAAGCTGCTAGAGACTTGGCTCTGAGAGATGACCGTCACAATCGTGCATAGATAGCTTTGTTTTTGGCTCAAGGATAGGGTGAGGCTTTTTAGGTTCAACTATCCAGGTTTCAAATGCAATTTGCATTCTATGTAAAGTGATGTTGCAGCAGACATGGATCCTGACAGTATGCAGTACACATCACACCGACTTCTCATTACTATTTTTTTTGTTTGTCAAATGATGATGAATGCAACATTTGAAAAGCAAAAAAGAAAAAAGAGAAAAACAAATGCATTCCTGAGGACTATATGCTTACTAATTTGTGCAAACTGAAGCAATTTTTGTGATCTATTTTAATGTTCATTGAATGTATTTAGTCGTCCTTGTCTATATATTTACTATTTGGACTAAAGTTTTCAGCCCAAGAATGAAAAATATGTACCTTGTTTTAATGAGGCAAGAGCAAGATATGAGATATTGTTGAAAAATCAAATAATCTATAGGAGCTAATTAAGGCCAATACTGTTCCTGCAACACCATGGGGAACATGCAGATGCTGTAAATGAAGTTGGGAGATTAAGGATAGAAACCAAACTTTTCAAAAATGGATGATAAGTCAATTGCTCTTCCACTGTTATCAAAGAAGCTGTTGATCTGGTACACACCTGTAGTTAGTTCTACGCTCTTCTTGTTCGTAGTTGTCTTTCAATGTACAAACTCTTACAGTAAGTCAGGAATTAAGATATAAGAAGTGATATGCTTCCCTCAGGTTCCTATTATCCTTCTAAAAGCAGTGCACTCCAGGCCTTTTACTTATGAAATATATCCATACTGCCCAAGTATTAACTCTGTATAAAGGGTTGTGCTTCTTGACTGTGGATACAGTTTACCGAATCAGAGAACGTGCACGTTCAATCTGTTGTTAGTAGATTTCCTTTGGATCATGCATGCTCGAACTAGCACTTATTTTATATGAATTTGTGGGTGTTCATACCATGCATTTTGTACGAGTATGTGGTTTTTAGCTATTAGACAAATATACATGGTGGCGACACGTGAAATTTTGCCAGAGGCATCAAAGTCTTTTACAATGAAGCAGCTGATGATGAATGTAAGATATTCAAGCGAATTGTGCGACAATGGCAGGTACTCATTCAAGAAATTCGTTAAGAGTAAAATGTGGACTAGACACATTTAAGGTTTTACTCTAGCAGGTTATTGCGTCAGATTATGCTTGTTATCTTTCACCTTTTTATCAACATTTTCTGTCATGTATCTAATCATCTTGGATAAGGGCTATTGTAATCAGCTTTTATGCATGTAATGAATTTGCTTATTAGCTGCACAGTTGCTGGAACTTGCAATATTTCTAGCTATCTTACAGTTGATTTTGCTGCCTGACAATGAGATTTGCTACCTGTGACTATAATCTAACACTGAGATTAAACTTCTTGATCATACTTAAACTTGCTGAAAATAAAGTTGAATCATTAATTCACTTGATTCTCTCTAATTTCTTCAATCTGGGGAGGCATGTGCTATTTGCTGCATGATATAGTGTTGATAGACGAGACGCGTTGCGCAGTTAACACGAGGTTGGAGGTTTGGAGACAGACTTTGGAGTCTAAAAGTTTCAAACTGGGTAGAACTAAGACAGAATACTTGGAGTGCAAATTCAGTGAGACCCATGATGCAGATGTAGAGGTTAAGCTTGATGCTCAAGTTATCTCCAAGAGAGCGAGTTTTAAGTATCTCAGGTCTATTATCCAGGGTAACGGGGAGATCGACGAAAATGTCACACATCACATCGGAGCGAGGTGGATGAAATGGAGGCTCGCTTCCGGTGTTCTATGTGATAAGAATGTGCCGTTAAGACTTAAGGGTAAGTTTTATCGAGTGGTGGTTCGACCCGCTATGCTGTATAGGGCCGTGTGTTGGCCAGTCAAGAACTCCCACGTGCAGAAGATGAGAGTAGCAGAGATAAGGATGTTGAGATGGATATGTGGGTGTACCACGCGAGATAGAATTAGGCTATGTTGTGCGGACTCTCCAAAATGTGGCCGCACCCGTGTCGGATCCTTCAAAAATACACTACTTTTGGAGGATCCGACACGTATCCTGCCACATTTTCGGAGAGTCCGAGCAACATAGGAATTAGGAATGAAGCTATCCGGGACAGAGTGGGAGTAGCCTCCGTGGAGGACAAGATGCGGGAGTCGCGGCTGAGATGGTTCTGACATGTTAGGAGAAGAAGCATTGATGCCCCTGTCAGGAGGTGTGAGAGGTTGGCCATGGAGAGTTTGAGGAGGGGTCGAGGTAGGCCTAAGAAGTACTGGGGATAAGTGATTAGGCAGGACATGGCGCTGCTTCAGCTCACTGAGGACACGACACTTGATAGGAGGGTGTGGAGGTCGAGGATTAAGGTAGAAGGTTAGTAGGTAGTTTATAGTGTTCACCGATAGGCTTAGTAGCATGCATTTCCCTTCATATTCTTTGATTTGTATTACGGTATGTGGTTTTGTTCGCCTCAGGTATTGTATTCCGTGTTGCTATTATTGGATACTGTTTTCCTTCCTTGCTTCCCTCTTCTGCTTGCCCTTCCTGAGCCGAGGGTCTATTGGAAACAACCTCTCTACCTGCATTAGGTAGGGGTAAGGTCTGCGTACAGACTACCCTCCCCAGACCCCACATGTTGGGATCAAACTGGGTTAGTTGTTGTTGTTGTTGTTGGGGAGGCATGTGCTAAAAGTAACTAGTTGTGTATAGAATAGTGATTACATTGAAGCGTATGTATTTTTCATTGTACTCACAAACGAATTAATTTCTTACAAAACTACATAGGAATCTTAACATTATTGTTGAGAGAGAATCAGATATAATGAGTCAATCACCATTTTTACATCCAAAACAAATTAATTTACTGGATTTATAGTGCAAATTATTTATTGTGATTATAGTTCGACTCCAACAGAGATTGAACAAGAGCTTGCTGAATAACTCTATATATTATGTGAATGTAACAATTGTCGATTTCATTGCGTGGTACTTTGGTACTATTTACTTTGAAACTGATTCTAATAATATCAAGATTATGAACGCCATTTATAGCATTAAGATGCCATAGAGTAATATAATACCATTTTTCTTGCACTTACTGTGACAAGGGCATGCAACCAAGTGGAGGAATTTATAGACTCATACTGCTTGTTCTAGTCCTGTCTTCAATTAATCAGTGGTATTTTTATCAGCCAAATGTAGTAAACATGGGATCGAATAAGAAAAGAGACTGGTCTGCTTAGTTTATCAAGAAGGAAGCGGTGCCCGCAAGAAATAGGTTAACTTAGCAGCTTTTCATCCAAAAGGCTAGGAAAAAATTGTACTCAATACGAAAGTTATCTGACTATTTTCTTATTTGGTTTGATTATCAAAAACTAGAAGAAAATCAAAGAGACAGTATGCTTAAGCGGTCCGTTACTGACTTCGTAGTTCGAGAACCCTCTTACTAAGAATAGATTTGCTTCGCCTGGAAAAATCCTGTTTTACTAAATATTAGAGATGTCACTGGTGGTATCTTCCCATCCAGCAAGCTATTGTTTAATGTCCTTTTTCCTTTTTATCTTATTTGATTCGATAGGGATGGTGGTAGTATTTTGACTTTGGTGTGTCTCCTAGTTAGCCTCGAGTCTTACCATGCCAATGATGAAATTAGTCGGCTTCATATTACTAGTTTCTTAGGTATAGAGGAGCTTCAGAATGTTGTTGTGACCATCCACTGGGATATTCACAGAGGATACAAGGATGGTTGTTTTTAGTTGATTGGATGTCCTACTCATCCATACAGTTGGACATTATTAGCATAAGATTATGCTCCCTGTGACAAAATCTATGTACTGTTTCTGTCAAAACACTTTAGGCAATTGTAGCAGGACATCATCCAAAACTTTCAAGTGATGTCTCGTTGGTTGCTATTTTTGGTTCAACTGTGAATTCCAGCTGCTTGGGTGTTGGTTCTTACGACCACTTTATTCAGTTGGTCATGTAGAATTTTAGTTATTTGCTGAAAACTTTTTTCTGCCATGAATTTAATTTTGAATGTATGATCTCTTACGTTAATGTCTAAATTGTTATATCAGAGAAGCTCAATGTGATCCTTGTTTCATCAAGTCATTGAGCTGTGCGTTAACGTTGAAAGAATCTGAGAATCGGTTTAAATGAGAAAACTGTTAACATTTTTGAAAGCCTGATATATATATTTCCTCAGATCGTGTATGGTATCAATTTCTCCTTGAAATTTTCTTTTCACTTTTTTGTTTCTGCAGCATCCTTTTACCTATTGCCTTTTCCTGAACTTGTTTGAAAATGCTTCTAAAGAAAAGATTCAATTGAAATTGTGACTGCTATCGTATTGATCACGCTAACTTGCATCCTTCACTACTTCTCTTGGAATTTATCAAAGAAGAGTGACTTGGAGTATATTTGATTGTCAGATAGAGGACAGATATGAAAGCCAAAGAGGTGAAATTGTTTCTGGTTGTCATGTATAGATAATCAAGCGCAGGAAATCATTCATGTCTGGATAAGCGAGAAACAAGAGAGGAAGTATAGATTACTTATTAAGAAAAAAATGATGGAAGAAGATGATGTATTAGTCAATATTAAAAAGAACAAGTTCGTTATTAGTTTACTTATGGTTCCTGTTGGATTTGACAAGAAAATATACACAATATAAGAGCTGTCAAGCCTTTCATTTATGTATGTCCAATTATAGGAGAAAAGATATTTACACAAGTACTTGATTCCCCTATATCCAAACCCCTTTGCTGCATTTAATGTGTCGATATATGAAACCAAAAACTAGTTCACATTTAGTTTCTTTCATTCTATTTGGATGCAAAAATTAATTCTTTGTAGATTACAGTCTGGAGTGCATAAGATATTTGTGGGTATGTGTCAAGGAAAGGTTGAAAAGACAATGCAGCCCTGGCATTGTGTGTTAAAGCGTCATTCCCTATGCTGAAGTACCCAATCTATTTCTCTGCATTCCTTGTTTATCAGGGTGAAGCAAAGCTTATTTGGTTGAAAGACCAAAATAGCCCTAGCGATGTGTGAGAAGGCGGAGAGGCCTATGATGTGCTCAGTTTTCCTTCCTTTCCAATTAGTTTATTGAATAGCTGCACGAGACATACCCTATTTGCCTTCGTCCTTTCTCTGGCGGTAGATCAGCTTACTGGTGGTACTTCATGTCAGGGTAAGCAAAATCTTATTTGATTGGTTATGTCAACTCATTTACCTCTACATCCTTCCATAAGTGACTGATCTTTTGCTTTTGTAAGGGCTTTTCACTTATGCTTTCCTATTCTGCAGGCCCATGTGAATTTTGTCGAATAACTTTGAGTTATTAAGTGTTTCCATGAGTTTTCAATTGTCGTTGGCCTTTCTTCCCGGCGTATCTAGAAAATGATTCATTGCTATATTTAACTCGGTTAGGTGCATTTTCCCTTTCGAAATTTTTCTAGATGTGTCTGTTGATTTACTTCCAATGCTAGTTGCGGAAATTTGTGGAAAATTAGCAGTTAATTCCATGTTATGGGTGGGGCTCTGGTAATGACATTTGAGTCAAATGCCATATATCTGCTGACTATTTGTGTTTATTCGAAGTATTAGATGTGTGCATATATGGAAATGAAGTATGTTCTCAATTATTGTGATCTTGTTGAGGGATGTTTTGTTATGGAAACTTTCATTGTGGAGATTGCCTTTAAATTGCTCTTTGAACACCCTTCATGCTGCTAGTCCACACTCTTTGCAGGTTTATATTAAGTCCAGGACACACGAGATAGTTGCTGCAACATTAGCTGTTTCAGATTAGTGTGTAACTGCTAAAGCTGACCCACAGGTGAAAAGATGAATCACGGTGAGAATATGGAGTCCAATATTGATTATCACATACAAGATGAGGCGGAAAGGCTGCTTAAAGAGATTGAACTGATGACGAAGAATGTTGAGAACTCTAAATTATATGCTGAATTGTGCTTCGATCTCGAACAGAATGAAGCAATTCAAAAACATCTGTTTCGCCATTTAGGCTCCCATTCACGCATTCAGCTGGTAATCTATTCTTTGGGAAGCATGGAATACAGTTTTCATTCACAGTTTCAGCTTGCCATAGTTCTCCTACTAAAACGAGATTTTTCCAATCTGATTGGCAATATTGAAGTATATGATCCTGCAATGTCTCCCGCTGATATCATAGTTTTCAAGGAACTCGGTATTGAGGTTCTAACCATTGATGAAAATTGTAAGAGGCAAGTCCAGAAACCAACAATGTTCTACATGCCTTATCCTAATTATAATCTTATCGGCAACCTGCTGGGAGCAAACTGGTCTTCGTCTTGTATCAACCAGATTTTTCTACTGACAAACTCATTTCGCAGTACATTGAACCTTATTCGACAGTGTGATTTTAGTGGAGAAACTGTGCAACGTCTAGAGAGAATTCTCGGTTTCACAACAGAAATTGACATACAAACTAGCTATGACATGATGTATATTAGTTTGTTCTCAGTATTTTCTTGGCATTTCTTTGATGTGGATCCCAACGTTGACATGGAAACTTCACTGCCTGGTACTGGATTTCCTTCTACTTTGATTTAGATTGAATAATCTATTGGTTGGTTTCAGGACACGTGCACTAAACAGATTTATCTTTTGTTGGTTCAGTGACTGAAATTACAGAATATAAAAGAGATGTCAAACTGGGACGTTCTTGGTTGGATATGCAAAGGTACTTATATGTGAGACTATATACCTTTCTATATTTTATCGAGTACAGTTCTCTTATTAGTTCTGTTAATTCTGGGAAATTGTGGTGCTGCTAATTAGCATATCATTGAAGTCATTAGCCCTTTACTTCCTCTATGCGTATGATTGTTTGAATTCTTTCCCCTCACGAATTGTGATAAGATGTGCTTTACACATGAATGATTTAAGTGCTAGATGATGGTCTAGAATTCGTTGTTTGGGATGTGCAAAGTACTTTGAAATTATTTGCTCACACGAAACTATAGAGTGATAAAGGTGAGTTGAAGGAACCAAAGGGGAGGGTAAAGCATACTTCATCCTTAAAGATTTAACTTTTAACTTCTGTCTTGCAGGTGTCTTGAAGAAAATCTTTTGGAATATATGCAAAGTGATATGACTAGTGAGGAATTAGCGCAAATTCTTGGTGAACATCGTGGGCCTCGTCATTTAAGATGCAACTCAGTTCCTCCTCCTCCAGGTTGGATTAAGATAAACATCTATGGAATTGGTAAAAAGGGTGATCAGCCAGGACGATATAGTGGTGTCTTTCAAGATGAAACTGGAATGTGTTTAGGTAGGTATAGTGGTACCATTCATGTTGACGACAATGTGATTGCTGGACTGGAGGCCTTGAAGCACGGGTTGATCAGATGCACGGAAGGAAAGCCGAATGCAAAAAAGTTGATTGTGGAGTCCGATAATTTTATACTTGTCCAATTTGTTAATCGTCGCCCTGAGCCAGAAGAAATAACCATGTGCAGGTTGAAAGAAATTTTTGGCTTGATGGAGCGTATAACTTGTGTAATTTACCATGTGTATGAAGAAGCAAATGAAGCTGCTAGAAACTTGGCTCTGAGAGATGAACGTGATAATCGTGCATAGATAGCTTTGTTCAAACAGGTTTCAAATTCAATTTACCGTTTATGGAAAGTGATGTTTTTTGTTTGTAAAATCTGGAGAGACTTGAAGAATGGATGTTTAAGTTGTCAGGATAATTTACATTTTAACTTTTGTTTAATTTTGCTTTGGATGTTTAGGATGATATACCCTGCCTGTTCTAACTTTATTTTTAACATAATGGTCTCTGTGTGCTGAGTGTTAGAACTATATATAATTGGAAATTTGGCATGATCCTGAATCTTGGAAAGATCAGAAGAAAGTATATACTATTAGCTATATTCTTTTCTTTTGGTGGATTATAATTTATACTATGCCCGAAAATTAGAGAAATTCTTTTAATAGGTTCACTATCCATATCGTAAGTTACAAGGGGAGCCTAGGAGTAGCGTTAAAGTGGTCTCCGTGTGACTTATAGGTCATGAGTTCGAATCCTGGAAACAACCACTAATGCTTGCATTACGTTAGGCTGTCTACATCACAATCCTTTGGGGTGCGGCCCTTTCCCGGATCCTGTGTGAACGAAAGATGCCTTGTGCACCGGACTGCCTTTTTACTATTCATATTGTGATTTAACTTATCGAATAGCTTGTCTAGGTTACTTTATTATTGATTAGTGCTGTGTGATTTTACTTTATCTGACATAGTGTCTAACAGTTATCACTGTGAACCTTAATTGTAAGTACAGGAGGGTGAATTGTGCCCTGATAAAAATTTAGTCGGCTAAGTGCGGATTTTAGTCAGCTAGTTCTGAATAGTCTGCACAGTAAGTTAACAAGATATTCCATAAACAAAAGTGCAGTAAAGTAACTGAGACCATTATTTTTGTACTGGTTGGTGCACGAATACGATGCTTACATCCCGTCCCCTTGAAGTGCAAGAATGTTATCTTTTGGAGCTCTTGAAATTGAATTGTTTACAACCTTGTGTGGTTTTGTTACCCTCACCACTAATGTTTACCGCTGTTGGTTTTTACTTGATCACCACCAAACGAACCCTTCGATTTTCTTGATCACCTAAGATACTATGGTTCTTTTTGTCGTAAGACTTGAATGACAGAATTACAGGGTGTGTTAGGCTTTTGCATAAGTCAGAGGATTTTGATGATTGTCTATCTTTTCCTAAATTAATTCTGAGCTTTGTGTGTTGGTTCTTTGACTGAAGGCAATAACTTAAATTTGAGAGTCTGTGATTGTGAACTTTGTTATAATACTGTATTTGTAAATAATTCTGGAACTATAAATGAATATAAACAGAAATGAACATAAACAGAAAACCAATTCGAGCCCACTGAATTCACAGTGTTTTCTTAAAGAATTTAATCCCCTCCTAGTACCCAAGGTTATAGATTATTTCCTCCCAGCATAGAACGAATTACACACTGGTGTAGTGGTACTTCAAACCCCAGTGTTTCAGCGAACACAAAGTTCGGTAGCAAATCACACTTACTGTTGCTTTGTTTGATGCTAAAAGTATGCAGAAGAAGGAGGAGAAACTCAGAAAATCGTAGTGAAATTCTGAGCAGAATAGTGTTGTATTTATAGCCAAAGTTGGGCTGAAATCTGTAGAGGTGCGACTCGTCAGAATGGCTGTTTATGCAAAACGGCCACAGTATAAATGCCATTACATAAATGGCTATTTACTCAACAATAAAGAGGGAAAATAAAGAGGAAAAATTGAAGAGGGTAGTTAATTTTCTGTTACTAAAATAGAAAAAACGGATTGGAGGATTTAATATTAATATTTATTTTAATATTAATATTATGTTATTAAAACAAATATATAATAACATTTCTGTTAATATTTTACTATTAACAAATAAATTTGGTCCAAAAAGTTAATCAATCAATCATTTGACCAAATCCATATCCGAATCCGAAGCCGAAGCCGAAGCCGAAGCCGAGCCGAGCGAGCGACGACGACGACGCGAGGCTTGCCTTCTTCTTGACTCTTTAAGAGCTAGAAGAAGAGCAATTGCTTATATACCCATAAAAACCTCCTCCTCTTCCAATATGGGACAATGTCCATTTGCCAAGGGGGGAAACTTAAAATTTCACTCAAAAATTTAATTTCCCTCCATTTCCCATTCAGATTGGAGGATTTAATATTAATATTTATTTTAATATTAATATTCTGTTATTAAAACAAACATTTAATAACATTTCTGTTAATATTTTACTATTAACAAATAAATTTGGTCCAAAAAGTTAATCAATCAATTGANTCCTCGGAACATGGGGATTGTTGAGACCAATGGGGTCGATTTTGCTACATTTTGCTTGTTTGGATCCGCCAAGACTTGGTGGAGGGATTATTGCTAGACCAGCAGGATCACCAGCTTTGACTTGAGGATAGTTCACACAGCTATTTCTGGAGAAGTTTCTCCCCATCACTCAGAGAGAGGTCTATCGGAGGCGATTTGAGCGTCCCCAGCAGGGTTCTATGACTGTTACTCAGTACGAGATCAGATTCATCGACTTGGCTCGTCATGCTCTTATCATACTTCCCACCGTGAGAGAGAGTGAGGAGGTTCATTAAGGGACTCGTCCAGCCCGCTCAGTTAGCTAGAGGTGGAGGTAGAGGTATTAGAGGTGGAAGTAGAGATGCTAGAGGTGGAGGTAAAGGTATTAGAGGTGGAGGTGCAGGTGTTGTTCTGGTTTGTGGTAGAGGAGCTTCGGTTTTATTTTGCGCCGTATTTGGTCATGCCTAGTGATTCATTGAGTGTTCCTGTTTATGTGTCTACACCGGTGGGTGATTCTATTGTGGTCAATCGAGTCCATCATTCTTGTATTATGGTGATTGGAGGTCTTGAGACTCGTGTAGATTTGTTTCTTGTAGACATGGTTGACTTCGATATTATATTGGGATCGACTGGTTATCACCTTACCACTCTATCTTGGACTGTCATGCCAAGACTGTGACCTTAGCTTTACCAGGTATGCCTCGTTTAGAGTGGATAGGGACTCCTGGTCATTCTACCCGCAGTGTTATCTTGTATGTGAAGGCTCGGCGTATGGTCGAGAAGGGGTGTTTGGCCTATTTGGCATATGTTCGTGATTCTAGTGCTGAGGTCCCTTCTATTGATTCTGTGCCCATTGTTCGTGAGTTTCCTGATGTTTTCCCTTTAGACCTGCCGGGTATGCCACCCGACAGGGATATTGATTTCTGCATTGATTTGGCTCCGGACACTCAGCCCATTTCTATTCCGCCGTATCGTATGGCCCCGCCTGAGTTGAAATAGTTAAAGGAACAGTTGCAAGATTTGCTTGATAAGGGCTTCATTAGGCCCAGTGTTTCGCCTTGGGGTGCGCCGGTATTGTTGTTAAAAAGGAGAATGGGTCAATGAGAATGTGTATTGATTACCGGCAATTGAACAAGGTTACAATCAAGGATAGGTATCCATTGTCGAGGATTGATGATTGGTTTGATCAGCTTCAGGGTGCCAAGGTATTTTCAAAGATTGACTTGAGATCTGGCTACCATCAGTTGAGGATTAGGCATCCGATGTCCCTAAGGCAGCTTTCCGCACTCGGTACGGGCATTATGAGTTCTTGGTGATGTCATTCGGGTTGACAAATGCCCCAGCAGCTCTTATGGATTTGATGAACCGAGTGTTCAGGCCTTATTTGGATTCGTTCGTGATAGTCTTCATGATGATATTTTGATATATTCCCGCAGCCGAGAGGAGCACGATCAGCATCTTAGAGTGGTTCTTCAGACTTTCAAGGATAGTCAGTTGTATGCCAAGTTTTCGAAGTGTGAGTTCTGGTTGAGTTCAGTTGCATTTCTGGGTCATGTCGTAACAGCAGAGTGTATTCAGGTGGACCCAAAGAAGATTGAGGCAGTCGAGAACTGGCCTAGACCAGCATCAGCTACAGAGATTTGGAGTTTCTTGGGATTGGCAGGCTACTATCGTCGGTTCGTGGAGGGGTTTTCATCTATTACAGCCCCGATGACCAGGTTGACCCAGAGGGGGTGCCCAGTTCAGATGGTAGGATGAGTGTGAGGCGAGCTTTCAGAAGCTCAAGGCAGCTCTGACTACGGCACCAGTGTTGGTTTTGCCCACAGGTTCAGGGCCTTATACAGTCTATTGTGATGCTTCCCGTGTTGGGCTTGGTGCAATGTTGATACAGGATGGCAAGGCTATTGCTTATGCTTCGCGGCAGTTGAAGATTCATGAGAAGAACTATCCGGTTCATGATTTGGAGTTGGCAGCCATAGTTCACGCATTGAAGATTTGGAGGCATTATCTGTGTGGCGTGGCACGTGAGGTGTTCACGGATCGACAAGAGTCTTCAGTATTT